TCCCTCGTCACTGTCCACCGCAGCCCTGCAACCTCCTCAGCAGCCCTGTCCTGTCCCTCGTCACTGTCCACCGCAGCCCTGCAACCTCCTCAGCAGTGCCCAAGAAATCAAGGTGGTTCAGTGGTTGTCAGTATGCCTCAGCATCTCAGGGCGAATAGAATCTGGTTCTGAAAATTTCAAGTTGTTTAAAACGCGCTTCAACAAGAACCTACCAACCAGACCCCCCTCAGAGACTCTGAGGAGGGCTCTGTTTAATCATGACCAAGTGGGACTGCTCGGTCAGAGGGTAGGGGTGTGTGTGTCTCGTGAGCAGCTGCCCAGCCTTTTAGCAAAGCGGCCGATCACGTCACAGCCCAGCAGCGCTGCGAGAGCGCCGTAGCTCCGTCCTCACCAGCGCTCAGCGCTGTCATCTTTGGAGTTTGAGCCCTTCTGGTGGGGTGTGCTGGTGTCCCCGCTTCCCTGCTGACTGTTGGCGTTGAGCACAGAGCCCTGTTCAGTGTGTGCGTGTGCACGCGTGTGTGTGCTCGGGATGGCGGGGGGTAAGCCTTCAGCAGCTGCGTGTCAGCGTACTGGACATCTTTTATCCATAAAGCCCTTCTCTTCTGATTAGCTGGAATTCCAAAGGTGTGAGCTGGTTAGCGTTTGATCCCCTCCTGTAGCGACAGTGCTGCACGTCGTGGTTAGCGTCCCAGGGCCCCCACTAATTAGAGCAGCTGATTCCACAGCACTTCCCACTCTGTGCCATCTGGGAGAGGCTCGGGGACTGAGGCCTTGCTGTCAGTCACGGGCGCTCTGTGTGTGGGTCCGAAACCCAGGCGGGCTTCTCGGGAGTATCAGTGACGTTGCTGCAGCGCCGGACGAAGGCTCTGGTTCCAGAGAGTATCTGCTGCCCAACTGCAGGTTCCGTCCGTCAGGGATCATCAGACACACCCTGTGCCTCTTCTGCGTTCCAGCGACCCAAAACACCCCTGCTGTATTTTGAGTCATCTTTCCCCAGGCGGCCCTGGGAGGGGGAGCGTGTGTACGCGCTCTCGTGTCCCGTTGCTGCCTCGCTTGCAGCGGTGTTCAGTAAAGGTCTGCTCTGTGTATGGCCGTACACGCTGAAGGAGGTGTGTTTCCCCGGCGACCTCGGCAGGGATGTTCATCTCATGGTTCTGGATCGGAGTGGACTGCCAGGGTGACTCGTGCACGCCCCCCACTCGGCGCGGTCTTCTGTTTCTGTCTCACGACTCTCAGTGATTCAGCTATTCATCTCTCCCCGCAGCGTGCTCTCAGAACTCAAACAGAACCTGCGAAGAGTGCCTGAAAAATGTCTCTGTAAGTAGCATGAATTGTCACCTAATCCTCAGGTAGACACATTTTTTCTAAAGCCAGAGTCCCTTGTGTGTTTTAAGGGTTTTGCTGTCTGGGATTTGTGGAGGTATTTCTCAGGGTAGTCAGTAAGTGTCATGTCGGCCTTTCTCGGGCAGATGAAACTGTCTCGGGGAGAACTGTGGGTACCATCTGACTGTTGTCTAGTCACGTTATTTAGCTCCTGGGGTGGCAGAGACCCCCAAGTGGCCACGATAAGCAGAGTTTTATGGTTGTTGGTTACCTACAGCCTGAGCCATTGTCAGCATAAGACACTAGAATGGCCACTGTGTAAATAGCCCTGGGTAAGTCCAGGCTTCCTCTGGATAGTTCTTGTTGATAACGGGCTTTCGTCCTGACAAGAAGTCATGGTTTTCTGTCCTACTAAATTCAAACCATTAACTTCAGGATTTAAAATACAAAGCAAGGTCTTCCTCTGGCAGCAGGATAGGTGCTCCCTCAAGCACAGTTCGTGCGTCCCCTCCTCTGTGGGGCAGATGGGGTGTCAGTCTCCCCCGGCACCTGCTGCTGTGCTCGGCCACATTCTAATCACCACTGCGCTGGGAGTGTTGAGCACTCTCGGGGCTGCATCGTGAACTGTTGCTGCGTGCACGGTGGGCTCTGGGCACCGCCCCAGCTCACCCTTAAAAATCGTAGGAGTCAGCCTCAGTTATGTCACCTTTTAAACTGGGTGTGATGATGCCCGCCACTCGGTGCAGCTTTGGAGGTCAAAGGTGAGATGCCAGGCACCTGACCAAAAGCAGAGATTGTTGTGGTCGTAATAGTCTGTTCAGCAAACGTGTAGTGAGTGCCCACCACGGGCCAGGCTTGGTCCTGGGTGCTCGGGTGATGTCTGAGGAGCACATAAACACCTGCCCTTGTGCAGGCGATGCGTCCTAGTCAGGATACACAATGTGTGGAGGTGAGGAGCGTGGGTGCCATGGGGAAAAGAACCCAGCAGGGGAGGGGGGTGAGGAGGGTCGCAGCTTGGGGAGAAGTTGGTAAGGATAGGCCTCCTTGAGGAGTGAGGGAGCCTCCCAATGTGCAGGGGAAAGTGTCCAGGCCGAGTGAGCAGGCTGTGCAAAGGCCCTGGGGAGCAAGCCGGCTCATCACAAGGAGGAGGAGTCTGAGGTTCCCACGGGCCTTGGCTTTCCTCTGAGTGGGATGCTGTTGAGCAGACGGGAGCTGCTATGCTGAGAACAGAGTGAGGGAGCAGGACCGAAAGCAGACTGGTTGGAAGGCTGAGGTCGTTTAGGCCATCCATGGGGAGGTGGTGAGGAGTGGTTTTCACGTTTCATGCTGACGCTTGTCCAATGCTTATTTCTTTCAGTGTCTTTGGTGCAACACCAACAAGGCGTGTCTGGACTACCCAGTTAAAAAAATTTTGCCACCCGGGTCTCTTTGTAAGTTGAGTTCTGCACGCTGGGGCGTTTGCTGGGGTAAGTCATTGTTTTCATTTACTTCTTGCAAAGTCAGTGCTTTTTTGGAAATTCTGGTGTATGCCTGGTTAACATAAGTTGCCAGAAAACACCTGCCTGGGAACTCTGTGACTCCCAGCAAGAATTCAGGAAGCTGGAGTTAGCACACAGGGTCTAGGAGAGCAGCTGGGGGCCCTGCGGGATCTGGAGGACCGTGTTCTAGGCCATCAGGCTGGGCAGTGAAGTCTCAGTCTCTCCGTGTCCTGGGCAGTCTCAGCGCATTGCACACAGACGGTGCTCACAGGTCCTGAGGCTGTGCTCGTGTGGTTGCCGTGGCTCACCCCACTTCTCCGCTCTAGAAGACATCACAGCAACTGCGGATGCGGCGTTGGGGATAGCCTTGACGTGCTCTGCCTTTTCAGAACTTTAATACCCTAACTGAGCACTAATTCCCTGACACTCCATGTGACCCGGCCAGCATGCACCAGTGTGGCTGACTCAAGGCTGACAGGCCCCTCTCCTGTGTCTGGGACTGTGTCTGGCTCAGAGTCAGAGGGTACCCACTGGCCGCCTTGCCCCACAAGCCTGGCCAGCGCTGAGGCACCCTAGGACACCGTCTTTGGCTACTGTGTGCAGGCGGTCATTCTGACTCCTTAGTTGTGACTCTCAGTCGTTCTTAACTAGTGAAGACTTGATTGGCTTTTCATTGCCTGTTTTTTGCTTTTTTAAATAGTGCTCCTACAGTACGAATGAATTCTGACTGAATCTCGGTAAATGATCTTGACTTCAGCTTTATAAGTCAATCGTACATCTCCCCGATCTGTGAGTGATAACGATTGTATGGTGTAAAAGGATTCTAGCATACCCCCTGACACCCTTTTAGCTCAGTGGTGAACTTACCTCCGAGGTTCACTGTTCAGCCTGGGAGTGGACAGCCCCGTAAAACCAAATGAGACTAACGAGGTACAGGAGTCCAGGGACAAGGGCCAGAAGGCAGAAGGGGACAGGGAAGCTGGTGATAGGGAACCCAAGGTTGAGTAAGGATATTGTTGATGTGTTGTGAGATTGTTAACCATTGTCATAGGGCAACATGTGTAGTAACTGTTAAATGAGGAACTATTTTGTTCTGTAAGCCTTCATCTTAAGTGAGAATAACAGCACAATTGGAAGAGCGTAGTCAATGTCACTGAACTGTGTATGTAGAAATTTTTGAAACGGTGAATCTTCGGCTATGTGTATTTTCACCAAAAAAAAAAAAAAAGGTTGAGAAGTTAGAGGGTTAATACGTTGGGGGGTTGTTAACCAATGTCATAAAACAACATGTGTACTACTGTTTCATGAGAAACTATTTGTTCTGTAAGCCTTCACCTGAAGTACAATAAAATATATATTAAAAAAGAAAAGGATTCTAGCATATTAGAGCTCCAGTCTTCACACAGTTACGCTCTGCACCACACAAACGTTTCAGCCAAAAATCGGTGAGCACGTATTTACTGATAAAGTTAACCTGACAGGAGTGGTGCATGGTGTGACGCGAGTGAAGCTGTGTATCCGTTTAACATTTGATGTCTTACATCTGAGTTAGGCCTTTCCGGAGCCAGGATTTACTGATGTGTACAGTAATAATCCGCCACTCCTCTGTCAGTTTGTCATACTGTGGTGGCCTGTGTGCTGTTCTCATGCTGGAAGCTATGCCACCGGTATTTCAGATAACCAGCAGGGTCACCCATAGTGGGCAGATTTCAACAGAGCTTCCAGGCTAAGACAGACTAGGAAGAAGGATCTGGCATCTGCTTCTAAAAAAAAAATCAGCCAGTGAAAACCTCATGAATAGCAACAGAACATTTTCTGATGTAGTGCCGGAAGATGAGTACCTAGGGTTGGAAGGCACTCAAAATATGACTGCGGAAGAGCTGCCTCCTCAGAGTAAAGTCGACCTTAATGACATGGATGGAGTTAAGCTTTCAGGACCTTCGTTTGCTGATGTGGTAGACACAAAATGAGAAAAAACATCTGCAAACATCCATTAATAATCAGAAGGTGGAATGTACGAAGTATGAATCTAGAAAAACTGGAAATTACCAAAAAGGAAATGCATAAAGATCAATATCCTAGGCATTAGTGAGCTGAAATGGACTGGTATTGGCCATTTTGAATCAAACAATCATGTAGTCTACTATGCTGGGAAAGACAAATTGAAGAGGAATGGTGTCGCATTCATTATCAAAAAGAACATTTCAAGATCTGTCCCGAAGTATGTTGCTGTCAGTGATAGGATAATATCCATACGCCTACAAGGAAGACCAGTTGATATGAATATTATTCAAATTTATGCACCCACCACTAAGGCCAAAGATGAAGAAATTGAAGATTTTACCAATTCCTACATCTGAAATTGATGAAGCATGCAATCAAGATGCATTGATAATTACCGGTGATTAGAATGGAAAAGTTGGAAATGAAGAAGGATCAGAAGTTGGAAAATACAGCCTTGGTGATAGAAATGACATGGGAGATCGAATGATAGAATTTTGCAAAACCAACGACCTATTCATTGGAAATACCTTTTTTCAATAACATAAACGGCAGCTTTACGCATGTATCTTACCAGATGGAATATGTACAAATCGAATCAGCTACCTGTGTTGAAAGAGACGTTGGAGAAGCTCAGTATCATCAGTTAGAACAAGGCCAGGGGCTGACTGCAGAACAGACCATCAATTGTTCATATGCAAGTTCAAGTTGAAGCTGAAGAAAATTAAAACAAGTCCACGAGACCCAAAGTACAACCTTGAGTATATCCCATCTGAATTTGGAGACCATCTCAAGCATAGATTTGACGCGTTGAACAATAATGACCAAAGACGACGATTTGTCGGATGAAATAAAGGACATCATACATGAAGAAAGCAAAAGATCATAGGAAAGAAAGAAAAGACCAAAGCTGATGTCAGAAGAGACCCTGAAACTTGCTCTTGAACGTAGAGTAGCTAAAGGGAATGGAAGAAATGATGAAGTAAAAGAACTGAATAGAGGATTTCAAAGGGTGGCTTGAGAAGACAAAGTAAAGTATTATAACGTGCAAAGACATGGAGTTAGAAAACCAAAAGGGAAGAACATGCTCAGCATTTGTGAAGCTGAAAGAACTGAAGAAAAAATTCAAGACTTGAGTTGCAATATTGAGGAATTCTTTGGGCAAAATCTTGAATGATGCAGGAAGCATCACAAGAAGGTGGAAGGAATGCTGAGTCACGGTACCAAAAAGAATTGGTCAATGTTCAGCCATTTCAGTAGGTAGCGTATGATCAAGACCCAGTGGTACTGAAGGAAGAAATCCAAGCTGCACTGAAGGCATTGGCAAAAAACAAGCCTTCAGTAATTGATGCAATACCAATTGAGATGTTTCAACAAACAGATGCTATGCTGGAAGTGCTCACTCGTCTTTGCCAAGAAATTTGCAAGATAGCTACCTGGCCAACTGATTGGAAGAGATCCATATTTGTTCCCATTCCAAAGAAAGGTGATCCAGCAGAATGCGGAAATTACTGGACAATATCATTCATATCAGACAAGTAAAATTTTGCTGAAGATAAAAATGTTTGCAACAGTACATCAACAGGGAACTGCCAGAAATTCAAGCCAGATTTAGAAGTGGCCGTGAAATGAGGGATGTCATTGCGGACGTCAGATGGACCTTGGCTAAAAGCAGAGAGTACCAGAAAGATGTTTACCTGTGTTTTATTGACTATGCAAAGGCATTTGACTGTGTGGATCATTACAAATTGTGGATAACATTGCAAAGAGTGGGAATTCCAGAACACTTAATTGTGCTCACGAGGAACCTGTACGTAGACCAAGAGGCAGTTGTTCAAAGAGAACAAGGGGATACTGCATGATTTAAAATCAGGAAAGGTGTGCGTCAGGATTGTAGCCTTTCACCATACTCATTCAATCTGTATGCTGAGCAAATAATCCAAGCAGCTGGACTATAGGAAGAAGAACGGGCGTCAGGATTGGAGGAAGACTCATTAACAACCTGTGTTATGCAGATGACACAACCTTGCTTGCCGAAAGTGAAGGGGACTTGAAGCACTTACTGATGAAGATCAAAGACCACAGCCTTCAGGGTGGATTACACCTCAACATAAAGAAAACAAGAATCCTCGCAACTGGACCAAGAAGCAACATCCTGATGAACGGAGAAAGTATTGAAGTTGTCAGTTTCATTTCTTGGGAGGGAAAGTGGAGTTCACTAACTACTTAGTAGACGAGAGGCATCTCAGGTGAAGGGAAGGATAACACAATACAAGGGAAGTCAGCACAACTGGACTTGAAAAAAAAAAAAAAAAGAATCTTGTTTCACTCGGATCCACAATCGACGCCCATCGAAGCAGCAGTCAGTGAATAAAACGAAATATTGCATTGGGAAAATCTGCAGCAAAAGACCTCTTTCAGTCGTTAAAAGTAAATGTGCCTTGAGGACTAAGGTGCGCCTGACCCAAGCCATGGTATTTTGAGTCATCTCATATGCATGTGAAAACTGGACAATGAATAAGGAGAACCAAAGAAGAATTGATGCTTTTGACTTGTGGTGCTGACAAAGAATATTGAATATACCACGGACTGCCAGAAGAACAAAGAAATCGGTCTTGCAAGAAGTGTAGCCAGCATGCTCCTTAGAAGCGAGGATGGCAGGATGTCGTCTCATGTACTTTGAACACGCTATCAGGAGGGACCAGTCGCTGGAGGACATCGTGCTTGGCAAAGTAAAGGGTCAGTGAAAGAGAGGAAGACCCTCAGCGAGATGGATCGACACAGTGGCTGCCACAGTGAGCTCAAATGTTGCAATGATCGTGAGGATGGCGCAGGACCAGGCAGTGTTACGTTCTGTGGCGCGTAGGATCGCTGTGAGTCAGAGCTGATCGGTGGTACCTAACAACAATGCAGTAAGAGTAGTGCCTTTCAGACTCATGATGATGTACGTTGTTAATTCATTAGGTAGGTAATCAGTGGGTAATCTA